TATTTTATCCATTTTTAAAATTTCTTCCTTATGTTCTAAGATGCCTTCTTTTATAATTTCATTTCTGTTTAGAGAATTTTCTTTAGCCATTCTTTTAGGGTAAGTCTCCTAACAACATACTTTACTACTTTTGTTTCATTCTTCATGTAAAACTCCCTTTAATTCTTGAAGACTATTTTTTTTTTTTTTTTTTTTGGCATTGAAAACTTTACTTGAATGGGATTTTAATAATGTGTGAGTTTTGAATTCTGTTTTTTTTTTTTTTTTTTTTGCTGGATATAGGATTCTGGGTTGACAGTTTTTTTCTTTCAGCATTTGATAATTATGCTACTTTATTCTGGCCTTTCGTGGTTTCTGATGAGAAATCTATTGTCAATTGAATTGTTTTTCTCCTTTAGATAAGATTTTTTTTCCTTCCTTGTTGCTATCTATCTGTCTATTTATTTATTTTTTTAGTTTTCACAAGTGTTCAGAAGTATGATGTTTAAAAGTTTTCAAAAGTGTAATGTGTCTTGGTGTGGATTTCTTTGGTTTTATCCTATTTTTGTTTTGCTCAGCTTTGGTTTCTTCTTTCTTTTCTCTTTCCAAGACTTCAGTGATAACAAATGTTAGATCTTTTCTTATAGTCCCAGAGGTCCCTAGAGAACCTTATTATTATTATTTTTTCTAAATCTGTTTTTTCTCTGTTGCCCAGATTGAGCAATTTCTATTGCTTTGTCTGTGAGTTCATGGATTTTTTATTTTCCTCTATCCCTTCATTCAGCTGTTAAGCCCATCCATTGAGTTTTAGTTTTGGTTATTGTATTTTTCAGTTCTGAAATTTTTGTTTGTTTCTTTCATATCTTCTATTTCTTTCCTGAGACTTTCTGGGTTTTTGTTTCCAGCACATTCATAATTTCTCATTGGAGCAATTATTCTAATATTTTTATCATCTCATTTTTGGAATCTCTTTTTTTTCCATTCAGTTTGAGATCCTTATGGTTCTTTGTTTTTAATTTTTATTTAAATTTTAGTTAACGCACAGTGTAATATTGCTTTCAGGAGTAGAATTCAGTGATTCATTATGTACATACAACACCCAGTGCTCATCACAACAAGTGCCCTCTTTTTTTTTTTTAATAATTTTTTTATTGTTATGTTAACCACCATACATTACATCATTAGTTTTTGATGCAGTGTTCCATGATTCATTGTTTGTGCATAACACCCAGTGCTCCACGCAGAACGTGCCCCCCTCAACACCCATCACCAGGCTAACCCATCCCCCCACCCCCCTCCCCTCTAGAACCCTCAGTTTGTTTCTCAGAGTCCATCGTCTCTAATGGTTCGTCTCCCCCTCCGACTTACTCCCCTTCATTCTTCCCCTCCTGCTATCTTCTTCTTCTTCTTCTTTTTTTTTCTTAACATATATTGCATTATTTGTTTCAGAAGTACAGATCCGTGATTCATCAGTCTTGTACAATTCACAGTGCTCGCCATAGCACATACCCTCCCCGATGTCTATCACCCAGCCACCCAATCCCTCCCACCCCCCACCACTCCAGCAACCCTCAGTTTGTTTCCTGAGATTAAGAATTCCTCATATCAGTGAGGTCATATGATACATGTCTTTCTCTGACTGACTTATTTCACTCAGCATAACACCCTCCAGTTCCATCCACGTCGTTGCAAATGGCAAGATCTCATTCCTTTTGATGGCTGCATAATATTCCATTGTGTATATATACCACATCTTCTTTATCCATTCATCTGTCGATGGACATCTTGGCTCTTTCCACAGTTTGGCTATTGTGGACATTGCTGCTATAAACATTGGGGTGCACGTACCCCTTCGGAGATCCTTATGGTTCTTGATATGATGAGTGAGTTTCATTATATTGGACATCAATGTCCATTCGTTGATGGACATTTGAACATTATTTTATGAAACTGGGTCTTATTTAAACCTTAGTTTTAGCTGGCTTTCTTTGGCATCACTCCAGCAGAGGAAGGAGGATGTCTGCCATCTTGTTATTACCAGTTGGGTACTGAAGTCCAGGTTTCTCTCCAGACCTCTGTTGACCCCAGGGTAGAGGTATTCCTCATTACGTTTGAGTGGGATCAGAGTTCTGACCAACTCCGATCTCTGCAGACACCATGGTGTGGATAGCCTTGTTACCCCTGGGTGATAATGAAAGCCCTGACTCCTCACTAAGCCTCCTCTGACATTACCACACTGGGAAGGGAAAAGGATGACTTATTGCTGGTTGGGGTAGAAGTCCAGGCTCCTTACATGGTCTATAATGACACCGTGGGGATAGAGAGAGTCCTACTTGGCTTTGTCTTAACAACATCTTAGTGGGTGAGTTGAGATGAATTGTTAAAAGTTTAGAGAAGGTTGAAGTCTAGTTCCCAATCTGACCTTTATTGGTGGGACCATATGGGTTTTTGTTGTTGTTATTGTTGTTTTCTGTGGTATTTGGGTGAGGGGAGAGATTACTGTTTATAAAATTTTTATGTATTCCTAGGCTGCCACTTTCCTGGTCCTTTAGCTAGAGAGAACAGGCTTTTGTCAGTCTTTTTTTGTGTCTGAACCCATTGGTGTTTCTGGTTGTCAGGCTCTTTAACTACAAATCTGAGAAAATGAGGCAAAAGGAAAGTCCAGGAAACTCATCACCATGTTGTTCCTTGGGTCCTAAGATCCCTAGGTAGTTTGCCTTCTCTCTACCTTTCAGGATCTTCTTATGTTTGATTTATATAATTCCAGTAGAAATAGCAGAAAGTACATCTACTCCATCTTCTCCAAAGCAGAAATTCATATTATTTAACTATTTATATATTGTTTTTCATTTTTGTTCTGTTCAAGTTATTTTCTAATTTCCCATTGATTTTTCTCTTTGATCTGTTGGATATTTGGTATTATGTTGTTTAATTTCCAAGTACTTGGGGGCTTCCCAGATTTCTTTTTTCCTTTTTTTTAGAGAGGGAAAAAAGAGGTGGGGGAGGGGTAAGGGGAGAGGGAGAGAGAAAATCTTAAGCAGGCTCCATGCCCAGTGTGGAGCCTGACACGAGGCTCGATCTCACGACCTTGAGATCATGACCTGAGCCAAAATCAAAAGTCAGACACTTAAGCTATTAAGCCACCCAGGTGCCCTCCCTTTTATAAAATTTCTGTAAGTATTTTTCAATGTAATTTTCAGTAGTAACAATTGTATAGTATAGACTTAAGTTCTAAGATGAAAGAAGCTGTTTTCTGCACCAGCTTTCTTTATATCCCAGCTTACCTTCAGAGACACTCTTCTGTTCTTATTTCCTCTGATGATTATCTGTATGACTCTAGTGTAAGTGCAAAAATTTAAAAGACAACCGATTTCTCGAATCTTCAATTTTAGTTAATGTTGACTTATTCTGTGTGTATAAGATGAGGATTTAGCTTATTACACTAGTTTTAGGGTTATTTTTAGAACTTTAGTAAAATCGCTGTTTCTTGTTCCATTAATTTCTAACAGTATGTTCTCTTAAGACATTAGCTAATTTTTTCTTTTTACTTATTCAAAGATATTGAATAATTAGCAGTTTTCAGTCTCCTTGATGTTATGAAAAAGTAATCATGATAACTTAAATAGTATCATAAAGGATGAGGCAACAAGGAATCATTCAGTTTTATTTCACATTGTGTAGATACAATATGGAGAAGATCTAGATATGCTTGCAACCTTATACAGTACTTCAATGTTGAAATGAATGTCCATACTTTTTGTGTTCATAAGGAGATTAATTTCTCACCCAAAGCTAAAAGTGTTAAGTTTGGAATAATGTATTTTGAAAAGGCAAAGCATTTAATGCTTAACTATATGCCAGCATGTAAGCTCTAATCCCCCATCACTCCTGCAAGATGGTTATTATTAACATCATTTTAGAGATGAGGTGGCCAACATTCAGAGGTTGAAGGATTTACTTCAGGATATCAAACCATAACTTGCAGAGTCAGAATTTGTGTTCAATTCTGACTTTAAAGCAGTGTTTTCTTATTATACCAAGCTATGTCTCAGAAAGGAATATAATTCTAGGTTTAGCACATACATTTAATGTGGTAAGTTTTCGTACATGGATGATAAATACACAAGAATATATACTACAATTTTTTTGTATAAGGTCAGGTTGATAAGAGTAAGTGATAAAATAATAAATTTATACTTTTTGTATATGGAAAGATGTTTATGATGTTTGGTGATGTGTATTATGTTAGCATCTTACATATATTTTAGGATACCGGATCTAGCTAAGTGTTTTTATATACCAAGGGGGAGACTGGAAGGATGATCACCAAAATAATTAAAAAATAGCTCTGGGTGGTTTTCACTTTCACTTTGAACTCTTTATTTTTTTATTCTTTTCCCAATGATGTTGTGTTATTTTTCCCAAATCTATAAATTATTTAAAAAAAAAATCTCCCAGGCATGAGCATTTTGTTTGTAGTTTTCTATGGTTGTTCTTTTCCCTTGTCTTTAAACTTCACAGAGTGGTTTGCAGAATGGGAAGAATTGGTTAATTAAACCTGCTTGGTCAAAGTTTTAATGGGCACAGGAGCTATTACTCCATATGCAGTTGGTTTTATATTTTTTAGACTGTGAAGCAAATAAATTCAATAAATGAAATGTTATGAAATATTCCTGTAAATCATTGTATTTTCCTATTAATCACCATCATATTTTAATTATGCTATTTACTTATTTTACAGCTACTGTTATTTATGTAGAATCGATCAAAGAATACTACAGAGATGGTGATCATAACAAATTTTTGCAGATGTGCACTAATCAGTAATATACAAATTTAGTTTATTGTATGTGTATGTATATAATTTTAAAATGACTGTTTTCCAAGTGAAATGATTTAAATAAATTTGTCAAAGTTTGTAATGTCAAAGGAAACTATCATAAAATAGTATTTTGGAAAAATTATTATTATGAAGATAGGATATTTTCTTCCATCATCTCTTTTTGTTTTTGTCTTTGTAGGTGATTATAGCCTTCTGTTATCGCACATTTGTGGGAATAATGAATTTATTTGGGCTAGAAGCTAAGACCTGCTGGAATGTCACCAGAGTAGAACCTTTAAATGAAGTTCAAAGTTGTGAAGGCATGTTTCTTTCTAAAATGTTGCTGTGTTGTCATTAATTGTATATATGTGCATATATGATATTCATTAAGTTGTCAGTGATAGGTTAGTATTTACTGTTGGGATCAAGATGACCCAGGTAGTCACGGACCTCACCCTCACAGAGTTTACACATAAGAAGGGCATTAGTAGTTACAGTCGCGATGGGTATTACAAATAAGAAAAGGAGGTTGCTAAGGTTAGGAGTAAGGGAGAAGTGTTTCAAGAATAGGAACCAGAATATTCAGAAGTCCCAAGGCGAGAGAAAACTGAAAGAATGCTAGACTTCTGGGTGCAGAGAGAGAAAGAGAGAAAAATGGTGTGAAATGATGCGGGGAATGTAAGCAAGGGTCAGAAAACAAAAGACCACTTGCTGGCTAAGGATTTTATACTTTACTCATTGAAGAATTTTAGCAAGTTAACATTTTAAAAACATTATTTTGCCAGTTATATAGAAAAGATATTAGTAAAGGACAAAAGTGGGTTCAGTGATGCCGGAGAGGAGACTGTTACTCTCAGCAGCTGATTGTAGGACAGATAACTGGAAAATGCAGATATTTGGGAGATTTTGGAAGCAGAAGTGACAAGATTTGGTAGTGGATTGATGGGAGAGGGGAAAGAGAGTGAAGTCATGTAACACCGGTTTCTGGCTTAAGTGATTGAGGTTCTTCGAATGGTAAAAACATTTTAAAAGTAGCAGGTTTGAATTGCTACAGTAGTTTAAAGTACCTGGGAGACCTCAAAGTGGAGGTGTCAAGTGGCTACCTGCCTGGACATATATAGGAAAAAGAAAGTTCTGGTCTAATATAAACTTGGAGTCATCTGTATACAGATGATCATTGGAGCCTTGGAAGTATAAGAATTTCCTTAAGGATTCCTGTATGAGACCTAGCAATTTTGGGGTGGAGTCTTCTGGGTTTTCCACATAAAGTATCATGTCATCTGCGAAGAGAGAAAGTTTTACTTCTTCTTTGCCAATTTGGATGCCCTTTATTTCTTCTGTTGTCTGATTGCTAAGGCTAGGACTTTTCTGGTACTATGTTGAACAGCAGTGGTGAGAGTGGACATCCCTATTGTGTTCCTGACCTTAGAGGAAAAGATCTCAGTTTTTCCCCATTGAGAATGATATTCTCTGTGGGAAGCTTTTCGTATATGGCTTTAATGATATTGAGGTATGTTCCCTCTATCCCTACACTGTGGAGAGTGGCTAAAATTAACAAGTCAGGAAACAACAGGTGTTGGTGAGGATGTGGAGAAAGGGGAACCCTCTTATGCTGCTGGTGAGAATGCAAGCTGGTGCAGCCACTCTGGAAGACAGTATGGATGGTCCTCAAGAAGTTAAAAGTAGAGCTACCCTACAACCCAGTAATTGCACTACTAGGTATTTACCCAAAGGATACAAACGTTGTGATCCAAAGGGGCACCTGCACCCCAATGTTTATAGCGGCAATGTCCACAATAGCCAAACTATGGAAAGAGCCCGGATGTCCATCAACAGATGAATGGATAAAGAAGATCTGATACACACACACACACACACACACACACACACACACACACACACACAAAATGGAATATTACCCAGCTACCAAAAAGGATGAAATCTTACCATTTACATCAACATGGATGAAACTGGAGGGTATTATGCTGAGCGAAATAAGTCAATCAAAGAAAGAATTATCATATGGTTTCACTCATATGTAGAATTTAAGAAAAAAACAGAGGATCAGAGGGGAAGGGAGGGAAAAATAAAATAAGACAAAATCAGAGAAGGAGACAAAACAACCATAAGAGACTCGTAACCATAGGAAACTGAGGGTTGCTGGAGGGGAGGTGGGAGGGATGGGGTACCTGGGTGATGGACATTAACGAGGGCACATGATGTAATAAACACTGGGTGTTATATGCAACTGATGAATTACTGAACTCTACATCTGAAACCAATGATACACTATGTGTTAACTAATTGAATTTATAAAATAAGTGAAAATATTAAAAAAAGAATTTCCTTAAGGAGAATATGCAGATTGAGAAAAGAAGAGGGCCTATGACAGAACCTAAGGTGATCCAACAGTGAAGAGGTGTGGTGTGTAATAGAGGAGGTTATTACAACAGCCTGAAAAGGAATGGTCAGAGAAGTAGAAGGAATCAGAAAAGCCAGCCTTCAGATCTTGGCTCCATCAGTTACACCTAAATAACTTTTGGCAAACTATTTTAAGTTTTCTGTGTTCTGTTATCTCAGTCAGTAGTAAGAGTATTTTCTTGCTAACTAATCTCATAGATCCATTCTGAGAATTCTGTGTGATGATTGTGTAGCACCTAATAGGCTATATGTGTGCTTACACACATACACACACACATTGTTTATACATGGGATATATTAAGAATTAAGGTTTTGTCTATACATAGTAATGGATCAAGTAAGTAGGTCATCTCATATAGACTAAAGGTGCTGCTTGAGTTCAGGGGCCATATCTTACTCATCCTAGAGCCTAGCAAAGGAAAAAATAATGCAGTGGGTTTTCTCCTGTAATGCATGCGGTGACTCTCCGCAGAGAGTTGTAGATAATGAACAAGAGCAGCATCATCTAAACAAAGTGAAGCACCAGCTAATCATTACAGTATAATAATACCTCAAGTAAAGGGAAAGTACTTCTGTAACTATTAAATAGAGCAGCAATCTGAACAGTGAATGTTTTCAGCAAGTTCATGAACACTTGATTATAAAGCACTGAGATAATTATGCCCAATTGTTTTATAGTCATTTATTCATTAAATACTGAATAATCTGTGTCTTTTTAAAGGATTGGGAGACCCTGCTTGCTTTTATGTTGCTGTGATTTTTATTTTAAATGGAGTAATGATGGGATTGTTCTTCATATATGGTGCATACCTGAGGTAAGATTACTGTATTAAAAGATCTTTCAGGGGCGCCTGGGTGGCTCAGTTGGTTAAGCGACTGCCTTCGGCTCAGGTCATGATCCTGGAGTCCCGGGATCGGGTCCCGCATCGGGCTCCCTGCTCAGCAGGGAGTCTGCTTCTCCCTCTGACCCTCTTCCCTCTCGTGCTCTCTGTCTCTCATTCTCTCTCTCTCTCTCTCAAATAAATAAATAAAATCTTTTTAAAAAAAAAAAAAAGATCTTTCAGTGGGCTTATAAGGACTGGCTGACATTTTCTGATTAAATGAAAAGGATGATTATGAGATGAATTGATTAATATGGAATTTTATAAATTTATTTTTTTCAGAAACTTAGCTAATATTGCACAACCAGAAACTGGAGCTGTCACTAAAATATCTTAAAGGCCAAAAAAATAAAAAATAAATAAAATATCTTAAAGGCCTCTCTTTTATCCTTGTGGGGATTTTTTTTAAACTAATTAAGATTCCTTGAAGTTTTTAACGAGAATACTTCTAGACAATATGTAAAATTACTATAACAGAGGAATCTTTGGTTGGCATGAGTGGCAGGTTATTTCTAATCTTCGTGTCTGTAAATGTGAAATTAAGAAAGCAGTAAAAGAAAACGTGTATCACTGTAGCAGACACATTTGATAGCCTATCTTTCTTGTTAATAGTACCACAATTTGGTTTGGGGTAGCAGTGTGTCCAATCTCAGGTGATAGGTTGAAGTTAGTTACGACAATTATGTATTTTGCTTCCCACTCTCCATTGCTTCTTGGGATATCCATATGAGGTAGTTTTTTCAGCGAAGAATATGGTGAAATCAGTCTTGTTTACACCTAGGAAAGCATTTGTCTTTCTCATAAAAGGATAGATTTCAGCTGTCCCTCCTCTGTCTCCTGCTTTTAAACTTAAGTGTGATACCTGGAGCTGCTGGTCATCTTGTGACCCTGAGGGAAAGGCCATAAACATAGCATAAGTCTGCCCTAACGACCTTGTGCTGCTGAACCAATGCCAACAGACACTTACCTTTCATTTTCTTGTTGAATGACATAATAAACATCCATGTTATTTAAGTCACTTCTGTTAGGTTTTGTTTCTTACAGCAGAATATATTCCTAACTGATCATCAGCTTTCTTTATAATGTTATTCTTGAACTGCACAACATTTAAAGTTAAAAATCTAGATCTAATCTTTCGGTAAGTATTGAGTTCATATTGGGTTTTCATAGGGTTTATGTCTATGTAGAGATTAATATATATACACTTCTTGTTTTAGGAAATTTTCAGCTTAAAAATACTAGCATAGTACCAATAAAAAATTGTGACATTTGCAACATTGTACCAGGTATCCTATCCAGCACAGTAAGTCAAGAAAAAGTAGTAGTAAGTATAAAGATTGGAAAACTTGGAAAAAAGAAACAAGTGTCTGTCCTTAAAAGCAGATCACAAGATTTTATGTAGAAAATCCAAAAGAATCTATGGATTAAGTATTAAATTAATAAGAAAATTTATAATGTTACTGAATACAAAAATTAATATGCAGACATTGTAAATCTATACTTTGTTTTTTTAAGTGAAATTTTAAAAGGATGCCATTTAAAAAAGCATTGAAAGCATGAAATTTTTGATAAATATCTGACAAGAAACATATATGACCTCTTTGGGAAAATTGTAGAACTTTTTTAGAAACTTTTGGGAAATCTAAATGAATGGATATCTAAATAAATATAAATAAATCATGGGTTAGAAGACAAAATTAAAAAGTTGAGAGTTATTCCAATTGATTTATAGATTCAATACATTGCCAATTTTGTTTGCCTTGGTAAACTGATTTTAAAATTGTTCAGAAATGCAAAGGGCCTAAAATAGTGGAGACATTCTTGAGCAAGATAGGAGGACTTGCTTTAGTAATCATTTCTGTATTATAAAACCGATATAAATAAGGCAATGTGATTGTGGCATAGGGATAGGCAAATAAATCCGTGGAATAAAGCAGGTCTCAAAAACACTTGTCCCATTTAAAGACACTTGATGTATGATAGAGTGGATATTGTACATCAGTAGGTAAGGACCATTTTCTCAATAAATGGTGCTGGAATAATTGAAAGATCATAAGGAGCAAAGAGAAGTTGGAACTATATGAAAATTAAATTCAAGTTAGATTACAAAATATGAAAGACAAAGTTATAAAATGCTTAAAATGTTATATAGAAGAGTATCAGTAACTTGGGATAAGAAAAGATTTATTTTAAACTTAAGAAAAGTTTTGCCATGAAGAAGAAAACTAATAAATTTGATGGGAAGAATTTAAGTTCCTCAAGATATCATACAATAAAATGATAAGCCACAGACTGGGAAAAGATATTGCAAAGCATATACCCAACATAGTATCCAGACATTACAATCATTAATTTGATGATTTAATTTACTGAATGCTTACTGTGACCAGAAGCAGTACTCTAGGTGCCAGGAATACAATCTCTGTCCTCATGGAATGTATATTCTAGAGGGTAGACAAAGACTAAGAAGACAGACAGCCCAATAGAAAACTGCACAAAATATTCATGATCAAACATATACCAGAAGAATTCCAAATTACCCCCCAATAAACATATGTAAAGTTGACCACCATCATTAGTTATCAGAAAAATACAAATTTAAACCATGACATACTATTTCACATCTACTAGATTGGCAAAAGAAACTTTTAACCATGGCGGAAGGACATATAAATTAGTAAAACTATTTTGGAAAAACTGTGCATAATTTAGTAGAGTTGAAGGTGTAGATATCTTCTAACTCCACAATTCCTATTTAAAGTATATACATACAGAGAACAAACTTGGTGGTTGCCACTGGGGAAGGGGGGTGGGGATACAGGCGTCCAGTTATGGAATGAATAAGTCACAGGGTGGAAAGGTACAGCATAGGGAACATAGTCAATGGCATTGTAATAGCGTTGTGTGGTGACAGGTGGTAGCTACACTTGTGAGTATAGATGTTGAATCATTATGTCATATACCTGAAGCTAATGTAACATTGTGTGCCAATTATACTAATATATATAAAAATATGTATGTATACATATGCCTAAGAAATTTTGTACATGTACATCAGGAAGTATGTACAAGAATATAACAGTATTGTTTGTAATAGCTGCAAACTGAAAACAACTCAAATATCTAACAACAGAGAAATGTACACATTACAGTTCATTAATACAGTGGAATACTATACAGTATTGAGAATGAATGAGCTATAGCCACACACATCAGCATGGACAAATCTTACAAATATAGTGTTGAATGAATGAAGGTAAGCACAAACTTAAAAGATGCAACTTCCATTTGTGTAAAGTTTAAGAACAGATTAAATCATACTGTCGATATGTGTATAGATGTGGTTATGTTAATAATCACAGAAATCAGGATAGTGGCTGTCTGAAGGGGTATCAAGTGGGGACTCAGAGTGTGATGATCAGTTTTCTATTCCAATGATATTATGCTTTTAGTTACAAGTATGTTCACATTATAATTGTTCAAGGAACTAGAAAATTTTATGTACTTTATTTCTGCCGTATAGGAAAATATAAACTCATCAGTATTTTGAGGGAAAAGAATTACTTTTAGATTATGTTGGCAGGCTTTAAAATGTTCTATTTTTGAAATTAGCTCCTATTCTTTTTTAATATGGAAAATGTTACACAAGACTAAATTTTTTTTAAATCTGTATTTTTCATTGGGAGAGCTCCTCAGGAGGGGATGGTCTTCTCTAAACTGGTTACACAGTTCTGTAATATCAAATACATTATTAGGCTCCAGTCTGTGAGAAGGATATGTAGATATAAAAAATGTTGGCTATAAAAGTGTTGCCAAAACTGTGAGGAGATTGGAAGTGATGGCATATGAGAAACAAAAGAAATAGGAATTGGGGGTAGATTTTTTATTTCTTACCCTGGCCACTCTCCCCTGTTGGTGCTAACTTGGAAGGAAGAATAGAAATTTTCCATTTCTCTTCTTTTGGTGGTTAACAATAAAATGGTAACATGCATATCTGACTTTATCAAGTCCAAAATTAATTGAGATCTTTCCCCTTCTGATCAATACAAAGAATTTTAGGACACTTTGCTTCAAAACAGCCCCTCACATCTTATAATTATTGTCATAGTTCAGTGCCTCTATTACCCCTCCACAGCAGGCACTGTTATTGCTGTTTATATTGTCAAATCTTGCTTAGATTTATATCCACATGATCCTACGTTCTGTAGGCTGCATTTGTTCTGCTTCTCACACCTTCCTCCTCGCAATTTCTTTCTTTTCAAAGACATCCTTTGAATTTTCTTTAGTGAAAATCTATTAATGGTAAATCACTTCCCATTAGCTTTGCTTGTTCTGAGCTCATTCCTTCTGTTCTTCCATCATTCATGTGATATTTATTGTCTTCCAAGTGTGAAGCTGTGGATACAGTGATGACAACTTACAAAGAAAAGGCAACTTTAAGAAATGGTTCTTAATCTTTGATGATCATCAGCCATTCAGGATCTGAGTTTTGTATTCTGCATGGTGGTTTCTTTGGGACTGAACCAAAGAATGTTTGCAGTAATTTAGACAGTTCAAAGTCACTGCTAAGTGAAACTGCTGGGCTCTTGTGTTTGTGTCTCAGTCACTGAAATCCAATTTCAAAAAAAAACTGGCCTCCAGAAAATTCAGAGAATGCAATATAGACTTTGAAGTCCTGGCCTGCCTGTTAAAAATTTTTACATTCACATCTTATATGTTTTATTTAGGAAATATTTTAAATACAACAGATTATAAAATTCAGATTACTTTGTATGTATACTTTGTATACTTGTACATTCACGATTAAAACATTACATGCATACTTTTGAAATTTTTGCATTATTTTGTATGGGGTTTAGTACTATAGCATTTTAAATATGACTTTAAATTCTAAGATAATTTTGTAAAAAACTCACTATATTTTTTATGAGTTATTAATGTATACTCTTTTTTTTTAACAGTGGGACTCAACTTGGAGGTCTCATTACAGTATTATGCTACTTTTTCAACCATGGAGAGGTTTGTTTTCTAGAAAATAATTTTTAAGATAGAAGGGGCTGTATAGGAACAAGGAAATATATTCATCAAAACAATATATAATTTGCATGTTATTTAGGGCTTTGCAATATTTTACCATGTTAATATTCATATTTTAATCATGTCTATCCACATTTTACATAATTAGAATTTATGATGTGAGATATCTTGCCTGATTTTTAGTGTACCTATATTTTGTAGAAAATCCAAATACTCTATTTTGTTGAAAAAGGAAATACTGCACTTACTGAGTTCAGGCACTTTATATAAACATTATCTCATTTACTCCCATAACACTTTTATGGAAGGTGGTTATTATCCTCACAGTAGAATATATGAAATTGAAATTTATAGTTGTTATGTTACTTATACAAGATTCCACATTCAATAACTGGTGAAACTGGGCTTCCCATTTTCCATCTGTCTGGCTCCAAAAACTTGCTTCCTTCTATTATATCATGCTGCCTTTTCAATTACACAAAAAGCTGAATTCAAAATAGAAATTTACTAACTCAGTCCAATGGAATATAGTCCACCTACAAAGAGCTCATAGAAACTTACTTAGAATATGGTAGATTCATTCAACAATATACTGAGTATGTAACCTGTGCCAGTTTCTGTTCGACAGTGTGTTAGATTCATTCAACAGTATACTGGGTATGTAACCTGTGCCAGATTCTGTTCGATGCTGAGAGTCTCGGTAGCATTGGAAAGTGAGAGAATATGACTGCTAGCTTTTGGAAACTATAATATGTTGTGGCATGGGTTACATAGGGTTGGTTGAAGTTTTTATCCATTACTACTAGAAAAGGTAAATAATTGATGAATTTTAGAAAATCAGACAAAGGAATCATAAAAATTATACAAAAATATATAAACTTAAACAAATGCATTCATTTACCAGTGTGTTCATGTAAAGACAAAACCTTTTCTTTGATTATGCCAGATGAATTGACTTTCTTATACATACCATAATCCATCTTTTAAAGTTTAGTTTTGGTTTCTTGGAAGAGGAGTAATAAGAGTTTATAAGAGTTTCAATTCTTTCTAGAATTTTAGAGTTCTTGATATAAAACTTTTATAATATTCTCACTCATGTCTTAAAAATAATTAGTTTTAAAGTCTATACAAAATGTCGGTACTTTCATTTATGTATCAACATTAGTGATTTCCAAATACTTCCAGGTGTTTTTAGAAACTTAACAGTTAACTCTTTTGAAGGTGTATTTCACAAATTCAGAGACAATTTTAATTACTTGTAGTGTGTGCTTATACTCATTAAACTTGTTATGTTTAAACTCTCTTGGTGTTTGTGAATGCCCTAGGTGACACTTGGTTAGATTTTTTCTGGGCATACATACATGCCAAAGCCCTGGGATGCCAGGGTCCTCACTGCAGAGCTAGAATGTGGATCTGGTTTTTCAGTTCTAAAATCCTCACCACTCCTATACCTACCATCTTGTTTGCCCTTTAGGTTTCTTATGTTTGGCATTTTTAGGTTTTACTTGCTTCTGGACTTGCTGGTTAATGGCTCTCTACCTAATGCCCGTATGCCCATTAAGAGAGCTCCAGAAGCTGAGAAGCTATCCCAGGCATTCATAAATTAATGAGTCTAGTATTAAAATTATTAAAACCAACCTACTCATGATTTTTAGATTAATATTTATTGTGATGGAACATAAAGTATTTTATTGATTTCAGGCTACCCGTGTAATGTGGACACCACCTCTCCGGGAAAGTTTTTCATATCCATTTCTTGTACTTCAGATGTGCATTTTAACTTTGATTCTCAGGTAATTTTTATTTATAAAATAAATCTAAATAAATTTTAACTTTCTTAAAATATACTTCAACATATTAAGTTATAATTATCAAATTTTGTTTTCCCTTTATTTTTAGTTACTTTAAAAATAGAGTATCCAGTTGAGAAAATAATCTAAAATTACTATGTAAAAAGTTGCTTTCTACTTAAGAGTCTAGACTACAGGTTTTAGGTAATCTAAATTCCTAGAAAGATGGTTTATTTTCCAATTTTTGGAAGTGATTTTATTCTAGCCAGTCAAGGGTTTCATGGAATGAAATGTGTTAACCACAACATTTAGCCTTGAGTACATATGCTATATACTCTGTAGCTTAGCCAGAAGTCACTTTTGTTTGGTAAATATAAGGTAACAGAACATAATATATTTTGTGATAATATTACTAAACAATATGAACATTTAAAATTTTGCTTTTGAAAATTTATATACCATAGTATAAGGATTTATCAAAATCTAATACAACTTTTATTATTTACACAAAATGTTTACAATTCTTTTTTCATATTCTAAAAGATACTAAAACCATCCGTGGTAAAAGGTGTTGGTTCCTGATACATCTTTTAATTGTAGACTGGGCAGTTTAAACTTCAACATGCAGTAGTTTATAACTGCATTCTAGAATTCTTTTTCAGTCATTGTTTTAATTTTTTTCTTTAAAGTGTTCTCATAGTCGTTAATATTGCACCAACACTTACACTTTTCTTCATTGCTTTTTGAAATCTAAAAGCAGTGGTATGTAAAACTGCTGTGGCTCGTCTGGCTACATATTTTGAGATACTGAAGGGTCAGTTCACACTATTTTCTGACCATATTGCTGGAGTATTAAATTTCTAATATGCTTAGTGAAAGGAAAATAAACTTTTATGTTTAAAGTATTGTATTTACTGATAAACGACATACAATATTTAAAGCTCTAATTAAGATTGTTTTATGCTAAGCATTTTTATAACCCAGGTATTTTCAGTTCTTTTTAATGGGCTTTTAAATTTAACTATATTTTGTTGCCTTACATCAAAGGTAAGGGGTCATTCGATTTCATCATTTTTCAGTTAGCTTTTTTGTTTAGTGATAGGCTACTTTTATGGTAAAACTTACTGGTATCAATTCTCTCTATTAAGGACCTCGATCAGTAATAGAAGGCATTTTATTGCACTCTGTCTTTCCAATGTTGCTTTTATGCTTCCCTGGCAGTTTGCTCAGTTTATACTTTTTACACAGGTAAGATGATTTTAAACTAATTTAAGTTCAATGCAAGATGTACTTGGTTGTTTTTATAGAAGTTTTATAATGTCATTATGTTTCTGCCCTAATAGATTTTCAAAAATGTGGAATAATTATAAAGTTTACATATGTGTATGATTTTTAAAAAAATTATGTAAATCTCCATTCAGTTAATGGATTGGTTTAGTTAGGCAGATCTTAATGATCAACATGCAAAAGACTTTTTCCTATTTAATTTTTTTATTATTTTTTAAATTTTATTATGTTAATCACCATACATTACATCATTAGTTTTTGATGTAGTGTTCCATGATTCATTGTTTGTGTATAACACCCAGTGCTTCATTCAATACGTGCCCTCTTTAATACCCATCACCAGGCTAACCCATCCCCCCACCCCCTCCCCTCTAGAACCCTCAGTTTGTTTCTCAGAGTCCATAGTCTCTCATGGTTCGTCTCCCCCTCCGATTTCCCCCCCTTCATTTTTTCCCTTCCTATTATCTTCTTCTTTTTTTTAACATATAATGTATTATTTGTTTCAGAAATACAGGTCTGCGATTCAGCAGTCTTACACAATTCACAGCACTCACCATAGAACATACCCTCCCCAATGTCTATCACCCAGCTACCCCATGTCTCCCACTCCCCACCACTCCAGCAACCCTCAGTTTGTTTCCTGAGATTAAGAATTCTTCATATCAGTGAGATCATATGATACATATCTTTCTCTGATTGACTTATTTCGCTCAGCATAATATCCTCCAGGTCCATCCACGTTGTTGCAAATGGCAAGATTTCATTCCTTTTGATGGCTGCATAATATTCCATTGTATATATATACCACTTCTTCTTTATCCATTCATCTGTCGATGGAATCTTGGCTCTTTCCATAGTTTGGCTACTATGGACAGCTATAAACATGGGGTGCACATACCCCTTTGGATCACTACATTTGTATCTTTGGGGTAAATACCCAGTAGTGAAATTGCTGGGTTGTACGGTACCTCTATTTTCAACTTTTTGAGGAACCGCCATACTGTTTTCCAGAGTGGCTACACCAGCTTGCATTCCCACCAACAGTGTAGGAGGGCTCCCCTTTCTCCGCATCCCCGCCAACATCTGCATTTCCTGACTGGTTAATTTTAGCCATTCTGACTGGTGTGAGGTGGTATCTCATTGAGGTTTTGATTTGGATTTCCCTGATGCCGAGCGATGTTGA